ATCTACAAACACAAGGTTTACTTCTGAGAAAAGGGTGTTCCTTCTGCCCATATAACATGCACAGAAAAAATAAAATGGTTTGTGAAAAATGCAAAAATTCTATTTGCAAAGAACACGGCTTCATAGTCTGTAAAATTTGTCTGTGAAATATGAATAATTATGTCCTCATTAAACAAGTTTACTTTCGAATATTATTATGGTCGATTTTGTGCATTAATAAAAATAAACTTTTCTGCAATATTAACAGTACGTAAAATTTTTATCCGTCCCTGCCATCTCCAAAATAAGTTATTAAAAATTGGTTCTAAAAATCATTGAACTGTATAAAACAAAACATAGGGCCATCGAGTCCCTGCTTATGCATTTATGTAGATTTTTGAGACTATGTTTTCTAGGGCTAACATGCGGAAATGATTCGATTTCATTTCACAAACGTTGGCTAACGTGTTGTGCCGCCGTGGCACAAACTAATGTGTTGTCATTCCGACAAAGGAGGAAGTTCAATGAAAAATATTTTTATTAGTGATAAAATGTTGAATTCAGAAACCATATTTAAGATTACTATTTTTAAAAGTTAATAATTTACGTGTACTGTGTTCCTTAACAATTTGGAGAGTTCATTGCAGAAAACAGAGCTGCAGATAACGGGACTTCTCTTTGGTTGGTGGGCCCAGGGCCGGCCTTTTGCTCGAGTTTCAAGGACCGTTTTGCGTGTTTTTGACTGTTCTGTGTGTTTTTGCCTGGCACCCCTAGAGAGGGGCGCTGTCCGAGCCTTTTTCCTCAGCTTGCTGAACCTTTGTGAGAACGTCGACACAGGAGAGAGTAGACGTGAACGATTTCATTCCACAGATTTCGGAGAATTTCCATTATTTACTTAACATTTATTTTATACGAGTATTTAATGCGTTGAAATATTAGATATAACAGTAATATACTAATAAGTTAAATTAACAATTTAATAACAATAGCTATTTATAAAATATTTAATTTGTAATAACTTGCATTTTAATTACTTTATTTCTTATAGTAGATATTTATTTTTGTAATAATATTTAATGAAGTTTATGATAAGTATTAATAGTTTTTGAGCAACTATAGCAACGAGTCCATCGCAGAAGGGAGAAGTGACGCAGCATCAGCGCCGAGAAGGCATCATTTTTATTGCAAGATTTGCAGAAGAGCTGATGATGCGAGGCAATACAGAAACTTCAGTTATTGACAAAACTGCCCAAGCATTGAGGCTGAAAACTCACATTGTTCAAAAGAAAGTGGAATTATAAGTGTCGGATGGAATTGTTTTGGATAATGTTGAATTTAATTTTACAGATATTGGAAGCAACACCCTGATACTGCTCAGACTCCAAAAAGGAAGAGACCAGGAATAGAAGGAAACAAAATATGTGTAGCGGATATTTTGGGCAGGGCTTGATTAAGCCCATTACTTATTCGATGTATGAGAATGGTAAGTAATGTATTTGTATTTGCATGTAAGCGAGTTCATATGTTGTTTGGTATAATACAACAAATTTTTAGGAGACTCTGTTACTCTGGACTAATTTTAATTGCAGTTAATGGTGATATAGGGTTTACGGGGGGGGGGCAATGGTTCGTACTCGCAATGTGTCGCGTCACATCAACGCGTAGGTGCACCACACTTCGCCTTCCAGCGCTAGTGACACGAAGAAGAGCATCAGCAAGCGAACCGGTGGCGGGCGAAGCGAGCTGAAGCGGCATGAGGAGGTGTCGGCGACGGAAGACCAGTCGCAAGAAAGGAGGATTTCTACCTCTATTAATATGCGCTCTAGGTGCCCTCGCTTCCGCGGCGGGCGGAGCGTCGGCCATCGCGAACGCGGTCAATAACAAGAAAAATCAGCAACGTACATTGGCAGAAATTATTCGTCATAACACCGCGATGGAAGCAAAGCGCCCGCAATTGCTTCGAATATACATTTCTATTCTGGTGGGGAACTTAGCGTATGCTGTAGGCTCGCCCGTGACGCTAATTTATAGACCGTCACAGCCAACAACAGCACCACCAACAACATCAGCAACAGCACCAAGTAGGACATCCTGTTATTTGTCTTTATTGATTTGTTTATTGAATAATGCAACAACATTCCCTTGATGGTTGTTGAAAAAAAGTTTAATTCAACTTCAGACTTGTATGCAGGCAGGCCGGTGGTATGCCGGCAGCTGCGTCCGGTCGTGCACACGCGTTTGAAATCTACAGCGTACTTCCCGTCGTTAATGAACTGCGCAGCTGCGCAGGAAGTCGCCTGCGGTTGACGATAGTGCGTGCGAATCCAGAGTAGAGGCCTAACGACACCATTGGCTGTCCGAGCCAGTCCATAAAATTCAAACAAACCAATGAAATGCGCAAGTGCCCCGCCACTACACTTTCAATTCCCTATGTTATGTGCGTTCCGTCGACTTGCGAACAGTCTTATTTTTGAGCTGCTACTGCAACTTTGAGCTGCTGCTACTACAACGCTTAGTAAAAATGGCTTTAGGCGATTTTTCGCGTCAGTTCGTGCGGGCAATGTGGCTGAAGTAGTGAGGATACTTCATCTGAATCCTCATTACGTATACCAGCAGATACCTGATGGACGTACGGCACTTCATGTGGCGGCCGTCCATAATCGGCCACGCATTTGTAATCATCTGCTGGGTGTGGGCGCCGCCATCGACGCGTCCGATACATACGGGGTGACGCCGCTTCATCTCGCAGTGAACCATAATGCCGCCGAGGTGGTGGAGTTTTTATTAAACTGCGGAGCAAATGTCAAAATTAGAAACCATATGGGTTTCACCGCGGTGGACTTCATCCTTGGCCAAGGGTCAATCATCGCCCCTCCCCGCCCGCAATTGCTTCGAATATACATTTCTATGCTGGTGGGGAACTTGGCGTATGCTGTAGGCTCGCCCGTGACGCTCATTTATGAAGCAACAGCTTCGACGTCGACGACGCCAGTAGCGTCGACCAACGGACCGCAGCGTCGCTGGCAATTAAGCTGTCCCCTTTTGCCTCTGCGCCGGCCGCATTCAATACCGGCACCGCTGCAGCAGCAGCAGCAGTCGCAGCAGCAACGCCAGATGTATTCGTCCTCCCCACCCTACAACTGCGAGGAGGACGAGCACACCAAATCAGGAGTGGGCGCATGCTAGCGCACGTCGGGCGCTCCGTGCGCGGCGAGGTCCTCTACCGCCACCACCGCCTCTAGCTCTTCCCATCGCGGACCTCACGCCGGAGGAGCTGGAGCGCTTGATGCATCGTCCTGATGTATGCAGACACTCATTTTCTTCTGGTGAGTACTTTTGAATGTTGCTTCATCTATCATTTCATTTCAGTGGTCATCTAGCATTCCTTCATTAAAAAATGTTAAACATAAATAACGTTTTGTTTCAATTCAGATCTTACTGAAATCAATAATTGCGACGACGATGATGAAGATAATGATGATGATGTGGTAGCGAAAGATGAAGCAGATGATGAATTCATCTTAGGAATGTAAAAAAGTGTATTAAAATTTGTGATTTATGCGATGTACTATATATTATATATATTAAAAAATAATAATTATATAAATTAATGAAATTCTTTACCCTATCACCACCTACATAGGATTCCTAAATTTAAAAAAATTTTTAGTTTTCCATTATGAATAAAAGAAATAAAAACTCTTCGAATGATTAATACTTAATGAATTTAATAGTTTAATACAATAATGAAAAAAATTATTTTCATTACTTTAAAACAATAATTTCATTAAATAAAATTACTTCTCGATTGATGTCATCAAAATTGATTATATTTTATTGCATTCTGTTGACAATACATTGTTATTTCATTGAATAGTTGATGACTTCTGCGAGTACTTGAATAAAATACTTCTCGATTGTTGTCATCAAAATTAATTATATTTTAATGCATTCTGTTGACTATACATTATTTCATTGAATAGCTGATGACTTCTGTGAGTACTTGCATTGTTTACTATAAATTGTTATTTCATTGAATAGTTTAATGTCTTCTGCGAGTACTTCTAATTCTTAAAATAATAAAACTCTTATAAGCAAATAAATATGTTGATTTTTACGTGACTGTGAAAAACATTTAATGAGAATATTACTTTCTTTACTTTAAAGGAATAATTTCAATAAATAAAAAAAATACTTCTCGTTTGCTGTCAACAAAATTGAATATATTTTAATGCATTCTGTTTGCAATATTGTTTTCATTGAATATTGTTGACTCCATTCATGGGAGTAATTCTATTTTTTTTTCAATGGAGAGGAGAATGAAGGAAGAATGAAAGGAAATAAGACAAGGGAAAAAAAATTATAAGCTCTTATTCTTTTTTTATTTTTCAACAATGTCATACAAACAATATTGATTAAAATTTAATGTATTTCATTCCATACTCCATAATGGTCTTCCATGTAGATTTTAACTTTAAGTGTTGAAAGGGATATAATAGTATCACGTATGCATTGTTTGTCGGATTTTTTCCAAAATATATTACATGAGGCCTTGATTTAATAAACTGCTCCACCCCCATTCCATCGATAAACGGAGTAAATCTATAATTCAAAAAATTATTAATATATTTATAATTATAATTAAAAATAAGATTACAAAAAAGATAATTATAATACTAATATGCCTTATTGGTAAAAATGTGCTATACTTGTCGTTTAAAACGACCGCATAATTTTCACTTAAATCTTTCAGACGTAATTTTTTTGGTGCTAGTAATTTCGTAGGCGATTCCTTTCGAAAAGACCTCCCAATGCTTTGTTATTTGGGAGGATTCTGCCCTTTGTACGATAGCACTCCAAATGTCACTAAAACAAAACGAAAAATTAAATTAATTTTTTTTTCTTTTTTTTATCATATCTCAAAAAATTAACAAATCATTCTACTTACGTCTCTTTGGGCGGTGAGTATATAAATACTGGATATGCTGGATCCGCGACCAGTCGTGGCGCTGTGGATTCACTTATGCAAATTGTTGTCGATCCTGGCGATGGTGTTTCAGCTCCGATGGCGAACTGCGAAGTTACCAACGCCAATCTGTATGCATCAAATGCATCATCTTCGTCGTCGTCCATCAGCCCAGTTAAATCGGTGGATGCCACATCCGCACCCATCAATCGTCTTTCCAACAAGTCGATTTTTGTCTGTTCGTTCGCACTATTAAAAATAAAAAAACATTAAAAGTAAAAAAAATAAAAATTTAAAATTAATCTAAAAATGAGTGGAAAAAGAAAAGAGACAACAAATACCTACGATGTCTTCCGCTTCTTGGACATCGAAGATGTCGACGGCAATGTCACGGCAGCAGCAGCATCTACTTCACAATCAATTTCTCGAATGGTGGCCATCGCAAAAGAACGGTATCAGCAACAACAGTAACTGCAACAGCAGCACTAGCATCAAGAGTACTATTCATTTTATGATGATAGCAACGCTTTTTTATATGAACAGCGACTTAACGAATGCTGTAACGGTTTCCCACGTTCTCATTTGAATTTGAAAAGCCGTTAATTTTTTTCCCGTTTACTTCAACGTTGAAATAATCAGCGCGGTCTCATTATCGTTTCCTCCAGTATCGTGGTCGGTAATCTCTTCCTGTGGTGTAACGGTTCTTCCATTCTGCTCAAAATACGCGTCGATTCCTAATGAGTTGTGGTGCGCATGTGAATTGCGCAACCACAACATTCCTTCAACGCGTGCTGTATAAGATTTCGTCATTCTTGAATGTGTTATACCTTAGCGCAGAGCTAGTGATAGTGTAGTGCATATTAGTGAAGTTTGAAGTGTCTTCGCGATGAAGAAAATTTGTTTAGAACGGAATCGTGACGAGGCAGGTGCATCATCAGCACCGCCAACACCGTCACCGCTGCCACCTAGCCGGGAACGTGCGACTGACATACAATCATCATCCAATGCCGGTAAGTTTTTATTTATTTTATTTTTCGTTACATCACAAACATCCAATCATTCTGCATTCATAGTCATTCATTACTTTGAATTTCGTTTGTTTCTTCAGATCGACAACAACCACAACGTGTGTCATGCATTGCAAATGCTCTCAGGTGGACGGATGTAGTACAGTCTTTAAATAATCGAGTGCACTGTGGTATTATCGCGAATTCGCAAAATATTCTCAATCCCATCACATTTCTTAATCGTTGTCAAGTTCCG